CCCAGTCATTATTGGGGAAAGGGGGGGGGGCAGGGTATCACGTTGACATCTTAATTGCCTTCGTTTCTTTGCACTCTGCGGACTCCGCACACGGTCGGCGAGTGCTCCGGCCCGGCCGCTGCCGCCGGGGGACCATAGCCGGCCTCACGCCCGCTATTGATCACCCCGCCCGCCCGCCGCGCCCCACCGCACCCCACCACACCCCACCGCACCACGCCGCACCACGCCTCCGCCCCGCCCCAACTCGTCCTGCAGGATGACTGTGTCGTCCACCGCAAACGCTGCGTTAAGCCGTGTGGCCGAGTGGGGGGGAACGGCAACAGCCCTTATTTCGTCATTTTCTTTTCTTTTTATTTCCCCCCGTTATCCTCTCCTTATCCCCCCCCGGGCCGCGTGCTCACCAGACCGTGAGGGATGACAGACATCCCCACGGCTGCGCGCGGGCTGCGCCGCCCCCCTCCCGTATCCCCCGCGCTCCCTCCCCACCGCCAGAGAGTCTAAAGCACAAGTTGGCGCCTGGCTGGAGGGAGAGCCGACCGCAAGTCTTTCGCACAGCCAGATAAAACTGGATAAAACGCGTGGGCTGAATTTATTTTCGTTTGGGAAAAGACCCGAAAGTAGACGCGTGTGGTGAGACCGCAAAGTGGTGACGTCTGCGATACTATTGCGCGTGCGCTTAGGCCTAGAGAGCGGGTGCACGGTGAAAAAATAATAATCTTGGATTTCAAGGTTATTTTGTGAATCTCAAGGACGGGTGGATAATTTCAATATCGACCCTTGAAATCCCAGAATCTGCCTTAAAACCATCTGCTTCCAAGGGAAAGCCTTGGAATTTTTGGTCCAATCTGCAAGGGGTTGTCTAGGATTACCAGACGAAAATTCGCAGCAGCGATGTCTATTTTTTTCCGGTTGCACTATATCGGATTCAATTGCACGGGGCGAGAAGGCGCCATGCATGGCAAGCGACAATAGGCAAGCCCGCCCGCACGCCTGAATCCGGTACAGTATAACTAGAAAGAATTTGACGATGCAGAGATCACCCTCCACGCACATCAACAACTTTGACAAAAGTATAAACAGAGACAGTCTTGTGGACTGTCTAAAAATCTTTCTCTTAGGCAGCGGGGTATAAGGGTGGCGGTGGTTGAGCTTTCGCATGCGCTTTTATAACCCACATGATGGGGCGCGCGGGCCCAGGCGGGGAGGCGGGTGGCTTCGACATAAAGAGGGTCATCCCCACCTCTCGTGGCCCGTCGCGGCGCGCCCTTCGCCCTGCTGACTTGGGTCCTCGACTTCAAGTCCCTCCTCTCCAGGGGGGCGCGGGCTGCAAGGGGCCATGGCGCCGTCGCTGCTGCTGCTGCCCTATATACAGGGCGTTATCCGACGGGCTCCCCCCCCCCTCTATACTGCAAGGCGGGCCCGTCTGGTTAGAGTCCCCCCCCCCCTCAGTTGGATGATTCGACTAGGCACTGCCCCTAGCCCCCCCCCCCCACACACACACCGACACGTACTACACAGAGACAGCCGTGGCCTAGGCCAGGCCTAGATCCAGCGGGCCGCGAAATGAAATGCTGACGGGGGAAGGGGGGGAGGGGGGAGGGGGATAACCCGCAGCAGGGAATGAGCTCAGGCCGGGTCTGCCTCCTCGCGCGAGACGTAAAAGAAATGAGTCGAAATCAATTAAAAGACACCATCACACAATCCCCACCCCCCACCCCCATTGGGACTGTGGCGCCGCGGCGCCCACGCAGCGCTTTCGCAAGCAGGGGAACCCGATTCTCTTTGTCAACCGGGCGTCGTTCCTTTTGTTGCAGAGGACGGCGGCACCGGTCTCGCCGACGGCCGAGTCGGTGCGGGTGACGAGGTCCCCGACGACGACGGTGGAGGCGGCGGGCGGCGGCGGCGGCAAGAAGCAGACGGGGGCCAAGGGTGGCACCACCACGCCCTCGCCGCCGGCCCCCACGCTGCACTCGCACCCGACCTGGCGCCCCAAGCGCGCCAACTGCACGCCGCCGGCCATCGAACAGTTCCCGGACCCGCTGATCGGGCCGTCGGCGCGCCGGCACGGCGGCCTCATCATCCACCTGTTCCTGGCCGTGTACACGTTCATCGGGCTGGCCATCGTGTGCGACGACTACTTCGTCGCGTCTCTGGACCGCATCTGTGAAGGTGAGTGGGGACGCTGCCGGGCCCCCGCCGCGACCCCCATCTGTACGGGCCTAACCGACTCGGACGCGGCTTTGCAGAGCTAAAACTCTCCCCGGACGTGGCCGGCGCCACGTTTATGGCCGCCGGGTCGTCCGCGCCGGAGCTGGCCACCGTCGTCATCGGCGTGTTCTTCGCCAAGGACGACATCGGCGTCTCTGGCGTCATCGGCTCCGCCGTCTTCAACATCATGTTCGTCATCTCGGTGAGTCTTTTTGCCGCTGTGCCGGGCGCGTGCGCGCGCAGGCCCGCGGCGAGTTGATGGGGGAGGGGGGATGCCGTCTGCCGCCACCGCCGCGGTCCCACGGGGACGACACTTGATTGCGTTGAAAATTGAGAGGCTTATTCGTCGGGAGAGGCCGCTTTATTCTCCCCCCCCCCCTTACCTCCTCCTCCTGCAGACTTTCGTTTGCGACTCCCCCCTTTGCCGCGGTGCCAGCGCTGCTGCTCTCTTTTCTTTCTTCTATTTGCCCCCCCCCCCTTCCCGGCCCTAGCTGGTCCGTTGATCGCGTTACGTTACCCCTTCTCATCCCCCACCCTCTGCCCCTACCCCACGCCATGGCGGGGGGCTCTCCATGGCGACCCGCCCCCCTGGGAAGAGGGGGGGGGGGGGCCTGGAGTCCCATGGCAGCGAGGCCAAACAATGCTCCCCAGCTTCCCTTGGAGCGGCCTAAAGCCTGGGGTGGGGCGGCCCGGGCGGCCTGGCTGGAGCAGCTGGAGCCAGCCGGTCTGGCAGTGAATGATGTCACTGAGCCCACCTCTCTGCCCACCTCCCTACCCTTACCCCAAACTTCCTCTCCCGGGTCGCCGTCAGACGGCGTGTCACCGGTGTCACCCGCGCCGTGCCCGGGCTCTCGCTCAGAGCTGCCGATGTACTACAACGTGGTACGCCCTTCAACGACAAGTCAAGCGAGGCAAGCACGCTGGGCTGCCGTGCAAGTTTTAGCTTGTCCTCTTCGCGCACGACGCTCCCCGTCGATGACGCCCGCCCCTTCGCGTGCATCCCCTTGCACCCCATGGTCCTCCTCGGGCTACCTGAGCTCGCTTGAGCATGCCCAGACATGCACGCGGAGGCTGTACTCGAGGGGGG